GAGTTAATATATTGAGGTATACAAATTCTCTGTTATGCTCTTTGAAGAAATTCGAATGTTGAAGAGCTATATCTCTCCATAAGTGACTTGTTCACCGACAAATCCATCGAATAACTCATCCAAATACTTGAACACAATAAAACATGATAACTACCCCACACTGTCGCCTGTGGTATATCAGATAAAATTCGTGAACAGGTTTCAAGACGGAGGACAAAGAATAGATGCGATATCACATGTCGAAGTAACTAAATCTTGAAGTTTTAAAATAGCAAGCCAAAAATGATGAATCAGTAACACAAAATACAAGAAAATAAAATATCAAAAGCAATGGTAAAGCCTTTCGCGTATGTAGTTATATTGCAGTAAAATGGAATCTCACTGCTTGAAATTTTGACCGAGAGAAAAAATCGTTTTGTTGTTAGAATATCGCCATCTTTCAAGAGTTGAAGGTGAATGGGTGTGTGAGTGTGGAGAAAAGAATACGCACAACCAGGATACAAATCCTCTGTTCAACGATATTCACATCGAACTCCATCTTCACTTCCATGCCTACACATACATCCACACTCACGTAATACTCTCACTTATAAACACCCATCCACAATCCGCACCCACTTTTTTTGTTACGAGAGCAGTCAGTGTTTTTGATTTCATGAACAAAAACATTTTTTTTTCGTTTATTGTTTGCTTCTTTTGAAATGAGAGGAATGAATGAATGACTTTCGGTCGTAGAGTGGCAACGTCAACAAACTGGTTTTTCTTTACCTTGAAACAAAAACAATTATTTCCTTTTTTCTCAAATATAATTCTCTCTCACAACACAATAACATTACCGTTTTACATTTTAAAAAGAACTACATTCTCTCATTGTACATTTTTTTTCTTCATCAATCATAAAAGACTCACGCGACTATATTGATAACATGGCTGCTAAATATATCGATGCTTCTGACCCTACTTCAGTTCCTCACCAACGATTCACTGACGTTAAATATGAAACGAACGAGTTTCTTCTACCTATTGATGATTGTCAAAAAGTTGATCTACTTCCGTTAGAAGACACGATGAAACCAATTCAAAAATACATTGATCCAGATATCCAGAAAAAGGTCTACATCGTTAAGAAACGTTGTAAAAATCTGAAAGATAACTTAACTCAGGACGAATCAGCATCTATTCAAGTTTATACGATGGCATCTACAGATCACGAACAAAGCCTGTATTATAATCTGAACAGAACCCTACGTAAAGAAGATCGACGACAATTGATTCTATATTTTGCTTATTCGAAGTTAATATTAACTGCGTTATGGAAACTACCATCATTTACTGGAAGAGTGTGGCGCAATGTGAATGGTAATTTTTCAAAAGACTTTCAAGAAGGTGATTCTTTAGTTTAGTGGAGATTTAGAAGCTGCACTCGTCATTTGAGCGTCCTTGACTTGGATCAATTTCTTGGTAAGGACGGAGTACGAATTCTATTTAGTATTGAATGTTCAAATGGAAATGTCATCAAAAAGCATTCATATTTTGCACAAGAAGATGAAGTTTTACTATTACCAGGCATTGAACTTCTCGTTACAGGTAAAGTCTGTCCAGCATGGGGACTTTCTATTATTGAACTAAGAGAAGTTACTGATAGTTCTATTGTTTTACTAAAACCACCTTTCTTAGAATCATCTACATAACCCACCAAAGCTGATTCTACTATCTCAACAGATTTTGATAAGAAATTAACGTTAACTACAACTTCACCAAGTTCAAGCACTGCTATTCTGCAATCAAAAGAATTATTAGAGGAAGTGAAAACGCTTCTACAAGAATTAAAATTCCATAATGAGAAATTTAATGATGGATGGTTAGAATTAAATATTGCAAATCTGTCTCTTGATGATGGTAAAGCAATTGCAGAAGGATTGAAAATGAATAAAAATGTTGATAAATTTCTGATTAGTTCAAACAATATCTCTATGGAGTGTCTTGAATATATGGTCGATTCGATAAAAACAAATCTGCACATTAAATGTCTCTATTTCTGTGGAAATGAGAATCATAATTATTTAGTGCCAGTGTGTACACGTATACTGGTTAATACTCTTAGTGTAAACAGAACTATGTATCGATTAGAAATTATTCATACAACGGTAACAAACGATGATGCGAAAATCATCACCAACCTATTGAAAACAAAGATAACAACGATAAACCAATTACACTTGGATAATAATCCTTATCTAACTGTTCAAAGTGCGTCTTACTTGAGTGAACTTATTAAAACTACTACAACAAAGGAAACTCTTTCGTTTGTTGGAAAACTCAATGTTGACGATAAATGTGCTCAATTAATTGCATCTGCGATGAAAGTAAATTCATTAATTAAAAGCCTGTGGATGATGGGAAGCCAGATTTCAGATGAAGGTGTGCAAGCATACGGTGAAGTGTTAACTAATAATTATGCATTAAATTCTGTGGATTAGGCCAACCATCAGATAAAGGACGTTGGTGCTAAAGTACTGGCCAATGGTCTCAAACAGAATACAAGCTTACGATTTCTTCATCTCAAAGAAAATCATTTTACAGACCAGAATGAAGGTGGCAAAGCTCTAATGAAAGCAAAGAATTCAAGGTTGACAATATTTTTTGGTTGATTCAAAAAGCTATGAATGTACTTCCGATAATATATTTACTTGACTGCAGCGATGATGATATGAAATAAAATGCATTTGTATGTCTATGTGTTTGCCCATTTGTCTGCATGAGTATAGTTCATGTCTGCATACATTTCTATAAGTGTAGACTATCTGTTGAAATTAAATGACTACTTGGTGCTTTACTTTCATCCAATCACATGCTTTATTATTAACCTCTGATCCAATCAGATTTTTTTTCTGTATAACAGTTTCGAGTATTCATGGTTCTCCTTGAGTCAAGAAAACCATGGCATATTTCGATCTTGTTTAAGAGTATCATCAGATGGCTATGATTTTAAATTTCTCTGAGGATTTGGGTGGGTATGCATGCGAAGGTATTACATGTAGATGTGCTTTCTCTCCTCAAGAACTCTTACACTCAAATCGCTATACGCTTAAAATAGACTTTTCCTGATGTAAAAGCCAAACTCACAAACTTGCTGATTACCTGGTAACGTAACTGGTCCGTTACGGTGAGTAACATCCACTAACGAGGAAACATTCCCAACTGTCACATTGCTTTTGAGTCGAGTGTATGCGCATCATGTAGCCTCTAATGATCTATGAATATTCTGAAAAAAGTTCGTGCTGCTAGCTTATTACTACCGAGATATTGTATTTTTACCGTATGTTTAAGCAGAAAGTCGTGGCCCCCCTCAGGAACACTACGAAAACTGAGTTTCGAATTTCAACTTGAAACTTTGCATAGAGATAGGCCTCAATGAGAATATTTTATTGTGAAAGTTTCAAATCTTTTGATTGCTCCCAGTCTGAAATAAGAATATCGGAATCTGTTGGTGTATATCAACGATTTTACCATAGCTGTATCTTAGGATAGGAACAATGAAAAGATCTAAAACTTTCACAATGCGTGAGGTGGCTGGATACGTGAGTGTATGAGTTTGTGATTCAATAAAATATCTATAAAAATGTAAATAGGAGATCTGTATTTTTTGCTTCTGTGAGTAGCTGTAGGGTCAATATTATTCTCGGTGAGCATAATACACATCGGCCAGTAAACTAATTCTAGATTACGTAAACTTCGATATGAAAACAGAATTTCGTATAAACTGTTTGACGAGCTGCAAGCTGCTCTATTAAACCGTATATTTCGTTTCCTGATTGACAGAGGATTATCTAAACCAGCAGAATTCTTTGTGAATAAGGAAAGAAAAAATAAGTAACTTATTTTCCCGCAAGTTTCATTTCGAGGATTATATAGAAAAAACCAAATAATTCTCGAAAAAATAGATCTTGGAACCTGCTAGAAAAATTATATAACTTCATATTGGGCATATACGCAAGATATTGACAACGCTCAAATATTGAAGTATCGTATAGCAAATATTAGACGCAAAAAAGACAAAAAAAAATAATCTATGACTAACTTATGTTTTAACTACACTTGAGTTTGTTATACTTGTTGACGTGATCATAAAATAACAATACCTTCATGAGAAATGTTTCTCTTCTGCAATTCATTGTACTTCAAGGATTTCCATCGATAAGATTACAACAACTTATGTGGCTGAGAGATTTTATAGATTGACAATTTGTATACAGAATATGAATTGACTAATACTTTCTGAGAAACTTACTCGTTATCCATTTTAAAAACTAGCACGTATGCAGCATGATTTATGTACAACAATCAACCTATTATGAGTTCATCAAAAGTAAACTCAACTAAAGCAATATTGTGTCTGGAGAATCCCAATCATAGCTCATCCATTTGTGAAAGACAGCTGAATGTGACAAAGTTTTCGATAAATAGAAAACAAAGTTTAGATTCGATATGAGCATAGAAGGTTTTATTAAAATACAGATAGTTCTTAACATATGGTATTAGACAAACAATTGAACACTGATTTAAGCATAAGAACGTTTCCATTTATTATTCTTCATCTAATTACAAATAAAACTGTTTCATACTGTTATATATTTAGTTTCTTGACAATATTGCCTAGAAAGATAACTAATAAACAAATAAGATTTCGTTCTTTCGTTTAATCATATAGAAAAACAAGATCTCTTAAAGTTTTATTATGTTAAACTATAAACAGACGATTTGTTTCTTCAGATGAGTATCAAGACACTATGTGCATAGGGATATCACTTTTGATTTTTTGTTCAAAATAAAATTTCACATAAACATTTCAATTTTTATTTTATGAAAAAAAAAAATAAAAGAAATCGACAAGACAATGATTCGAGCGACGAACATTTCTTGAATATTTGATCGAACGAACTAAATTAATATAGAAAAAAAAGTATGTGTCCTTCACATAGCGTTTGACAAAAAGGAAATTAGTCCAGATCATTGGTTGAAGATGCACTGGCTCCACCACCCATACCACCTAGATGTATATGAACTTAAAGATTAGTAATATGACAAAATAAAGATAACTAACCTGGAAAACCAGGAAATCCACCTCCCATAGATCCACCAGCACCACCAAACTTATTAGCAAGTTTTTCCATAATTTTGCGTACCTTTGGATTACTCTGATGAGCAGCTAATTTCGATGGATCCGAACTGACTTCCTGAAATAGATTTTATTTTTAAAAAACTCATTTCTCAAGATACGATCTAAAATTAAATCAATCGTTCTAATATAAAATCTTACCGCGAAAGCTTTTTGTACATCTGGATCTTGTAATGCTTCCAATATTTCCGGATCATTCATAACAGCACCCAATCCTCCTAAATCACCTCGACCACCCATACCACCCATTCCAGCACCTAAATAATAATTTAAAAAAAAATCAAATATAAGCAATAATAAAAAACAAACAAATTCATTTATTATACCTGGAAATTGATGACCACCTGCTGAATGAGAATGTTGTTCGTGTGCTCGTCGTTCATTTTCTTCATGTTGTGCTTTAGCATAAGCTTCTTGAGCTTTACGAATACGTTCTCGTTTAGCATCAGCTTCTTTTCTTTCTCGAAGTCGTTCATATTTACGTTTATGTTCAGTAACTTTTTTGGCCTAGACAAAAAAAAAAAACAAACATATCATATTGAGAGAAAAGTAAAAAGGCAACGAGAAAAATATACATTTGCTTCAACTTCTTTACACCATATTTGAACATCTTCATCAAAATCAGATAATTGAGCTTTACAAAAATCTTTATAAGCAGCTTCCCAATTACCCAACATACTAAAATAAAAAAAGTATTTTTACTTTAAAAATTATTATTCGTATTTTTTTTGTTTTCTTTATTTACCGATTAGCTTTTCCTCTCCATTTAAGTGCTTGTTGAGAATTTTCATTAAGTTCCAAAGCACGATTACAATCACGAATAGCTGCATTAGGCTTCTGAAGTTTAATATAACATTGTGCACGTTTAGCATGTAAAATAGCTGATTGAGGATTATTTTCAATAGCTTGTGTAAATAAAGAAATAGCTTCTTCGAATGCACCTTCCGAAAGTTTAGCTTGAGCTTCACCACGTTTAACATCTGCTTGTTCCAACATAGCATCGGTAATCTATTAAAAATCGAAAATTTTTTATATTTTTAAGTAAGTTTTATTAAATCATATTACTTCAATATCAGGATCACCCATTGATTGTGGTGGATCATTATCACCTTCAATTACACTCGTTGTATCTAATTCTATTAGAAAGAAAAATAATTGAAAAATAAAATGAAAGATAAACATGATTACTAACCTAATTCACTTTCTGGTTCACTATCGACTTTTGATGATTCATGATGATGTTTTGATGATGAAACATGTTCTTCATCATCTACATCCATTTTAGTTGATTCTGAATGTACATGACTTTTACTACTTGGAATAGTTGCTCCTAATCTAAATAATCATAAGAAATAAATTTATATTAATTATTTAAAAATAAAAAGATTAATTTTACTTTAAGAGCCATTGTCGAAAGAATTCTAATTCAGGTGCATGAAGTAATTCAGGTTGTGCATCACATAATGCAATAAATTGTTTAAGAAGATGTACATGTTCATGTGGAATAGAGGCAGGCATTGATGATTTTTCTAATTATTCTAGAAAAAAAAAAAAAAAAATTTATGCCGCGCCATCTAGCGAGAAGTTTTTATTATTTTTTCAGAAAAAGATCGATTAAGTTTCGAAATAAAATTCCACTTAATAGAAGAATAAAGAGAAGAACTTTAATATGACAAAATCTTTCGAATACATTGAATTGTATATATCGATCTTTTTAATTTCAAAAAATTGTTTTACAATTACTAATTCATATACATAAAAATGTAATAAACCAGACAGACAGTCAAGAATACAATTATTCATGTATTTATTTATTTGAATGAATGCCAGAGTACAAAGATTAATTTTAAAGATAGTTACCATTCAGTGGTGACGCACTCGTTTAAATATAATACTTTTTATTGTTAGTAATTTATAATTATCTATTTGATAACATCATTTTTATCGAAAAAAAAAAACATATTTGTTTGTTTTATTAAAATATAGATGGCATCAGTTGGCTATTACATATATTGAGAAGAACAGATACTTCCAACATATTATTACAATAGACAATTAAATACTACATCACACATAACAATTGCTTAATTACTATAGAAGTTGAACGATGATCTTTAGAAAATATTAAACAAAGTTAAGTCTCTATATCTAAAGTATATGCATTGAGAAAAAAAAATGAGAAAGTTTAAATAAATTTGCTGAAGTTTTCACTGAAATAAGTCTATTGTTCATTAAATATTTTTTCCTGATGTAATTTCGCTTGGTGCTAAAAAGAAAAAAAAAACAGAAATATTAATCATATATAACAATATTAAAACTAAAATTTATTACCAGATAAAGGAGTTTGTTCATGCACAACTGGTTCAGTCTGTTGTTTTACTGCCCATGGTTGAACATCACCAGATCCAATGAATAAAAATACAATCATACCAATTGTATAAATAATTGCACAAATAAAAAAAACAATACGCCAATTGTTTGGATCCTATATTCATAGATATAAAATATAAACATAAAATTATCAAAAAAAAAAAAAAAAACGAACTTTTTCTGTAAGAGCTCCAACAATATATGGACTAATAATACCCGGTATTGTAGCAAATGTATTTGAAATGCCAAAAACAATGCCTGAATAAGCTGGAGCAATATCATTTGCAGTTAACATAAAACCTCCACCATAACAACATCCTCTATATTAATAAAATATGATACAAGAAAGAAAAAAACGATCTCAAACAAGGAAACAATTACGTGAACGTGACACCAATTGTTAATAAAGTTACTGCAACATATTTTAGTTTACATGTCATAAATGCTAAACCAATAACAAATATTGCTGGACATAAATTTCCTAATACATTAAATACTTTTCTTGTTTGTGTTCTTGTTAATATTTTCTTTCGAATAATCATATCAGCTATCACACCAGAGAGATTTATATTAACCCAAAACATAATATAAGGTAGTGATGAGAGTAAACCATTCTAAATCAATAATACATTATTTGAAGAGCGAAAATATTAAGAATTACAGTCTTAAAATTTGCTCTTTTTCCCCTTGACATCACTATATTATAATGTACTTACTGATTTAATATCAAATCTTAATACTTCAGCCATATATTTTGGTATTGATGTAAGAAATGTATATGTACCCCAATTATTACATGTATGAATAATGAAAAGTGCCCAACAAGCAGGTGATGTTAAAATAGATTTCCATGGAGCTTCGAATTCACTTTTACTATGGCTAGATAATTGTTGTTGAGTACTACTAAGAATATATTCTTTTTCTTCATTACTAATACAACGTTGATCACGAGGTGAATCAGCATAAAATATAAGCCAAAATACACCCCAAATAACACCAATAATACCTGTTGAATAAAAAATTAATGGCCAACCACCAAGAAAATTCGATGAACACATTAATCCACCAAGAGACAATGTCAAAACATTTCCAATTTGAGCACCTATATGACAAGAGAAAAAAAAATGACAAAAATTAGTTATTACAATCAAAATATTTCAAAAGAAATTACTCACCAGCATTCATAAAACCAACAAGTTTTCCTCTTTCATTAGGTGGTGCCCAATGTGCCATGATTACAGTCATACTTGGCCATATAACTCCATGTGCAAGTCCAACAAATAATCGAAATATCCAAAGTACTATATAATGTATACTTGCACCCCATGGCATTACCAATGTAAAAATACCAGAAATAATCATTGCTATACCAAATATAAATCGAGCACCATATCGAACAGCCAAATATCCACCAGGTATTTCTGTAATCAAATAACCCCAAAAATATCCTCCTAAGACAATACCTTGAATATTTTTTGTCCATGGATATGGACCTTCCTATATAAAATATGAAAGAAGAGAAATTTATATAATCAAATGATAAAATTTTCGTTTTGTTTGTCTTGTTTTACAATTTTGACTGTATTGTTTGCGTATGGACAATCAATATCAGCTTGTGTAAGTGGTACATCAATAGAAGATTTATGATGATCAATAGCTGAATGATTGACCATACATACAAGAGCAATACCAACACTAATTTTTTGTGAATAATGTGCCACCATGCCCAAAAATCCAACAAAAGCAACAGCAACACGAATTGAACACCAAAAAGAAACTATAAATAACAAATTTTCAATGAAAATTTTAAATATTTCATCATTTACCCGATCGTGATTGTTCGTTATCTATTGGCTTCATTGTTGTATCTTTCTCGAATTAAATTTAATAATAATTTTTTTTTTCTTTAATTTTTGGGAAACAAATATTTATTTGGCGCTCTATTTTATTATATAGTATTTTGATACAATAGTATAAGTATTTTCAAGTAAACACGAAGACAAATAACCGTCTAGATAACACTTGTTCGTATTTCTGGGTTTAACGCCTTTGTTTTTTTTTCTCTTTTCTATTTTTTTTTCATTAATAGCCTGTTCTGTGCTACATTTAAGAAAAAAACTCTTGTTGTTCTTTATTTCCATGCATTACCATGGAGATTACTTGATCCACTATCTGAAGACGAATGGGAGGATAGGCAAAAACCTATCCATCAATAAAGAAAAAATATTAAAGCAAAATATTATAATTAGCATGGAAGAAGAACAACGTTAATAATATGCGTGTTTAAAAAAGGATGTATTTCATACATCTAACCATTGAGATGTAAGCATGACGGAAACTAAAAATAAATTGTTATTGTGACGGCTTAGAATTAATTATAAATGATATCCATTTAGATATTCACTTTAGAAAAACACGTCATATATATGACAAGAAACTTCGCGTCAAATGATTCTACAACACACAATGGCAAAATCATCTTCTATTTGTATTAGACAAATGCATTAAAAGTGTGAAGAAAAACGTCAGAAGAACTATATATTAATTTTCTATCTAAAAATGTTTTTCATTTATAGTATGTTTCTATGCACTTCACAGAACTCAACTATTCTATCCCAGTGATCATGATATTAAATATCACTAATGTATAATAAGTCAAAGGAAAAAAAAAAGTTTCATCACATTAATGAGTCACAACAGTCAAAGCCCTTAATCTGTAATTGAATCATTGATTGCAGTAGATAAAGTTTCACTGTTTTTTTTAGTAAACACAATCGACTAAAAACTAATTTAACCTAAAGTATAAACCAAAGTCCTACATCGAACTTCGCAGTAGTGTCTTCCACGAGTACAACTCTCCATAACCGAATCTGAACCGAAGCTCATTGACATCTGGTAGATATTTTCATAGTCACAGTACGGTTTTTCAAACTTTTATTTTATATCATAAATTTTACTACTTAGTGGCTTCCATAAACAGCAACAATAAAAGAGATCATCTGAAATCTACAAAAAACTAGGGATTCATGGTTCACTTGGTGTCTTTTTTTTCTAAAACCTGATCAATTTCGCGAACTATACGTTTGCTTGTTGCCAATGATCCTGAAATGTTGGCGCTTAACGTTATAATTGTGGGTGCACACATGAATACTTGATCTATCATAATATAACATTCTTCACCTTTTTCAATCATTGATTTTTTCAGAGCTGAGCGACTTGATTTATACCTTAAAAATCTTTGATTTGCCCATCGCTGTATTTTCTTTTTCATATATTCAGTTACTTCATCACATTAATCATCATTTGTAGATGAATTTTCATTAAAAACGAATTCATTCTGTAAAACAGTATCGCTTTCCACTTCTGTGACCACAAATTACTCAATCATGATAGAACTGATTTTTATTTCTATGCGTTTATACAAGGTTAGCAATTTGAAAGAATAAACATATGTTGAAAGGTCAAGATATCATTAACTATTGTATCAAGTTCGAGTGTCATATTGCAAAGCACAATGCCGAAGTCGGAAGAATTGTGAAGAATGATTTTGTAGAGTAACTGTCAGAGTCACATGAATTAAAAAATCAAGTATTTTTGCATTTACATAGTAACAACTATATTCTTCACAATATGAAGTAATGAGCACGGAAAGGCACTTCTTTATAAAATCATAATCATGTTTCAAGAAAAAAACGCCAGAGAAAGATTCTCATTAAGGTGTACTACAAAACGATGTATATATGGTAGCCTTCTGAGTTGGAGTCAAAAATTTTTACTCTGCAGTGCTTTAATGACAATGATGCACTCATATATATGCACATAAACAACACCGTTGTTTAAACTAATATATAAAAACTGGATGTCCGACTGAAACGAGTTTATTGAAAATGAAAATATAGTTTAGATCAAATTCTAAAAAAAAAATAATATTCTTAATTAGATTCAAGTTGGCTATTTCTATTCCTCATGTTTTAATATGTAGAAAAGATTGGTTTTATATGTTTGCAGCAGTTGTTTGTTTTTTAAATAGATATTTTCAAACTTAGCAGATGTTTACCCCCTATTATGACCATACGGTTTCATTGTGATGGCTTCTTGTCAATTTCACATCAATAATTTTTCAATATATTTTACAACAACAAATTTAT